AAAAAAAAAAGAAGAAGGGGGGGGGGGGGGGGGGTTGCAAAAATACAAAATGTAGGGAGAAAGAGGGGAGGATAGAGGAGCAAGAAAGGAAAAGAAGTGAGCAAGAGAGGGTGAAGGTGAGATGAGAGAGAGAGGGGGCCAGGCGAGATTATTGAGAGAGAGCAGAGATGCTAAACTAAGTGAAGAGTTATAAAATGTAATTATTTGGGGTACTTCAAGATTAATTATCTTATGATTAAGTGTAAATGATGGAACAAGTTATCATAAACATGACAACAAAAAAAAGACACCAAATTTTTATCCTTAAACTATTTATTTTTATGTTTTACACCAAACTCTTAAAGATAAATATGTATGTTGGATACACGACACATATAGTATAACATGTAAAAGTTTCAATTTTGTAGGGGGGGATTAATTACATATTTATCGGGAGAAAATATTTACGATATTGAAGTTTATTGTTTTGATTTATTGGTTGTCGGTTTGCAGACATATTAAACCGTTATAAAATCATTAAGGTATTGACTTATCAGCTATCGATTTAATCTTTAAGAATGATTAAAAAAAGATAATAAAAAACCACTTAGACAAAATGACAAACCAAGTGAACCATGCAGATGAGTTAACATATTGCATCTTTCTCAAAAGCAAACACGGACACATTAAAGAATAACAGAAAGTTTGTGACTGTAAAAAATAAAAGTACGAAAATAAACCCTTAGTCAAAAACTTTATATACCGAATGATATATATAATTTTTAAAAAATTAATTTGTTATTGAGTTATCGATTAACCCATAAAAAAAAACCTTAAATCGTTAAGAATCAATAACAAAAAAATCAAAATTATATCAAAATTCTAAATCAATAACTTATTCTTAATAGACCAATAACTTTTTTCAATTCAAATCATAAAATTTGGTTCAATTTTGAATCACCCTGCGCTCCTACCAACTCATTATCTTTGAATGTGACGTGGTAATATAGTTGGACATCTCTAGTGTGACAAATTAAAATAGTATGCTATTAATTAATTTCAAGTGGTCCGGAAATTTAAAACACCACGTGGATTAATTTCAAAAGTAAATACTCTCTCTTTTCAATAATAGAGGTATATATTGACTTTACACGTCTCTTAAAAAATAATAAATAATATGAGTAATATAATTATATTATGTTTTGATTTTATTAAATTTAATATTTTGAAAAATGTATTAGATGATTAATAGTATTTAATAGCAAAAGTAAAATAAACACAAAAGATAAATTATCTCTTAATTTTATAAAAGTAACAATATTATTGAACACTTATTTTTAATAATAATATAGTGGATAACTTAATCGGAGGGAGTAAATAATTCTCATAGTCAAACCGTCCTCCATATTAAACTTAGAAATCTCTGAAATTATCCCAAAACAAAATAACCGAAATCTTCATCACAAATGCCGGCCAAGTAAAAAAGATACAAATCACACGGGCGCTTTCCTCGAGAAAGATGAATTCCAGGCATGGGCAATCCCATAGATAGTGACTTATAAAATCGATTTCACGTAAATCTGAAACAGAACAAATTAAATTTGCCGTCTCACATTTCCGTTTTCCCTTACCTGTTCACACTAACCAGTTGATCAAATCGGTAGAGTGTTGAGAAGCATGGAGCTCAAGCCAGGCCTATCAGCGTTGGTCACCGGCGGTGCCTCCGGAATTGGTATTTTATTACTTTGAACTTCAATTCATCATAGCTCTTTTTTATATTTGCTATTTTGCTCTGCATTATTACTCGAAATTAAGTTTAAACCTATTAGATGCACTAGATAGATACTGAAGGAATCGCTTTATTGGTGTATTAATTTAAGGAATTGATATAATTATGAGCCGTGGGAGCTTCTCGTTGTCTGGAATCTAATAACAATGTAAATCATGCTTGTATCAATGAGAAAACAGGTGTGTAACACCGTGTGGAAGCTTTTGGACTTGCTCTATTATCGGACGATAATTCTGCCAATCAACTTTTGTATCAGTCCTAAAATATGTTACATTAGTTGCGTTGGATATGTAACCCCAATTTTTTTGGGACTGAGGTGTAGTTGTTGCTTGGTTCGGCTATATATCCATGTTTGTTTACTCATATGCATAGACACTCACACATCATAGTTAAATATGTATGAATGAACTAGTAAACGCTGTGGTTAATTGCTCATCTGGTACTGAGTTGATTAATCAAGCAATTGATTTTAAATAATCACGATGGAGGGCTCTAGTTTAATGCTTTAATAAGAATATTAGTTCTTGCCTTATTTTATAAAAAAAATAGGGATGTCAATTCTGTTTTTCTTTTTTTTTGAGTTTCTAAGCTAAGGTTTTTGTTATGCTTGCTTACAGAGCTCCATTAAAGGTAACATTCGGGTTAGCCAGCTAAATGTCTTTCTATGATGCGTTGATAAAGTGCCTTTTGTAAGATTCTATAAGCTGTGAAGCAAGACTTCTAAATGTTAATATGTGTTCTGTATGGTTCACGTGCAGGTAAGGCACTATGTTTGGCTCTTGCCAAGAAGGGAGTTTTTGTTACAATTGTTGATTTCTCAGAAGAGAAAGGCAAAGAAGTTGCAGGCCTTGCTGAGAAAGAGTGCGCTGAGTTCCATTCTGGATTGGAATTTCCAGTTGTTATGTTCATCAGATGTGATGTCTCTAATACAGGCACGTAACATGTTTAAGTCGTTTGAGTCAAAATGAATCTTATGGTTGGAATGAGAAGTGACAAAATCAACTGCATTATTCAGAATATTCCTTTAGTTTGAAGTTCCTTTTTTTTTTGTTTGAAATGTCGCACATGCATGGTTATGATTGGACTCCACTTGCCTAATACCTCCCACCTTTATGATGGTCCAGAAGTATGTGTATTTATCTGTGGTATACTAAAATTGTACCTGCTTTGGACTTATGTCTGTAAACCCCCTAAATTCTCGCGCTGCAGTTTGTGTCTAGGCATGTATGAAGATGAAACTTCTGTGTAGTTTGGGTCATTTGGCCAAGTTATTGAAAATTCCTTTCATTTTTCTAAACATATTCATAAATGCTCTTGTAAATGAAATGCAAATGCTGTGTAGTTTTGAGGATTTAACATCTTGAGGGGGAGGGGGTGAGTTGGACAACATTCTCAAATCTCAAGGGGACCAAGCCTTTAGGTTAGGGTTTCTCTTTCTGGACTTGCTCGGGCCTTTTGTCTTAAGAACAATCTTGCTGGGTGTTTTTATTACTAAGGTTCCTCAACTTGACTTATGAGCACTGTTACAATGCACATCATGTAAGTATGTGAAAAAACATTGCTATTTTGCAGTTTGTGTCTAGGCATGTTTGAAGATGAAACTTCTGTGTAGTTTGGGTCATTTTGCCAAGTTATTGAAAATTCCTTTCATTTTCTAAACATATTCATAAATGTTCTTGTAAATGAAATGCAAATGCTGTGTAATTTTGAGGATTTAACATCCTGAGGGGGAGGGGTGTGAGTCGGACAACATTCTCAAATCTCAAGGGTACCAAGCCTTTAGGTTGGGGTTTCTCTTTCTGGACTTGCTAGGGCCTTTTGTCTTAAGAACAATCTTGCTGGGTGTTTTTATTACTAAGGTTCATGTAAGTATGTGAAAAAACATGGCTAATTTGCAGTTTGTCAGATGGGAAAGAAGGGGAGGGGTTCATGGCTGAATAGGAGAGTGAGAAGAGAGGAACTGTAGAGATTCGATGCTTCAAAATTCTCGAGTCAGTTGGTATTATCAACAGTTAGCATATTTATATATTTCGTCAATTCGTGTCAATTTGATCAAGCAAACATGGCGCATTTTTGTCAATTTTGAGAACCAATGACAAAAGCAACTAACAATATATGTTGGTTATGTGCATAAATCTGAGCTAGAGATGCAATAGATTGATTCTTGCTACAATAACCTTTTAAAAAATGTGCAACTTGGTCATATTCCAAATTTCCCAATAGGTTTTAGCTCAGTCTTGTCTATCTAAATTGCTGATACAGTCTTTTAAAAGCTTAAGAATGCCTATCCATTTGGCTATTTTATGTCTGGCCATAGTTGCTGAGTGCATCTGCTTGGCACAAGTACTGTTAACAATTGGACGATGTGTTTTCAAAGACTAGTCTTTATGCCTTTCTTGTGCAATAAAGACTAATAAAACAATGAAGGCACATCTTAGAGGTGCCTAATTTCATAGGTTTAGGCACACAAAATTATCATACAACTTGGTGAGTACAATATAATGCACTGATGTTTATGTTCAGAGAGATAGAATTTCATGGTCAAACATACCTTGAAGTATTACAGCATAGTAACCTCCCGGAATCTCCATCACTTTGAAACTTCCAGTCTATCAACCATCTGATGGTCGGTGCTCAGAATTGCTTTTGTTGAAATTTTGAGCAGGCATAAGATGCTGTCCTTTTTCCCATTTAAAAAATAGAGAGACGCTGTCCTTAATCTTTGGATGCTTGTAGTACCATTGATAATAATAGGATCTGGAACAAGTCCTGGTTCTTTCAGTTTCCTTTATACTTTGATGCGTTCAAATGACTACTTACCATCATTCTGTGCCTTAACAGAAAGGAGTGCTAATTTTATGGATCACATATTCTAATTAAAAGACTCAAGATTCAAAAGAAAGCCTTAACAATTAGAATCTTTCCGGTTATTTGATTGATCCATGCACTGATTTTTTGGCTTGGATATATGTGCTGATGATTACAACACGCACAGACACACATTATGTATGGAAGTCTATTGATGCATAACTTTCATCAAGCAAGTCTTCTACAAAATGAAGTGACATTGTCAGTGAGGATTCATATAGCCACTCCATCTTTTTTAGGATTGAGGCATAATTGCTGTTTGCTTGTTTATTTGTAAGTCTTCTGCAATATTAAAATACACACTCATTGGAAGTTTGTTAATGCATAATTTTCATCGTGTAAGTCTTCTGCAAAATAAAAACCTATCTCTAAATAACCTTCAACATCTGTGCAGGAGAACTAAAAGCTGCTTTTGAGAAGCATTTTGTAACATATGGAGGACTAGATATCTGTATTAACAGTGCAGGCATCGGTGATATTGTTCCATTCCACAACGATCGAACTGATGGGTCTAAAAGCTGGAGACATGTAGTTAATGTGAACCTCGTCGCAGTTATAGATTGCACTCGTCTTGCGGTAAATTCTAATTCACTGTTTTATGGTTGTGCTAGTTGATGGATATCAATGTTTACCATGTTACAACTGTTAAGTAGCTTGACTGGAACCAAGAAAAAATTCTTCTTGTGTCAATATTCTTACACATCTAAAATTGTGGAGAGATACATAGATGGTTGTCCTCTCAAAACTTTTAAGGTTGATATCTACTTGTGCTTGAAATAAAATGCTCTCTACTAGGTGTAAATGTTCACATTAGATTGGTTATTAGGTTTTGAGCTATGGAATCATTTAGCAAGTAAGGAGCTTTTGTTATGTGCAGTTGCATTAGACTCCATATGCAGTCTTTAGGTACGATAATATGACAACTGAAGGTTACAAAAGAGGATAAGGTAGACCTAATTTGCCTCAAAAAGACTTATCACCTCTCAGAATTAATGTGAACTTCAGAATTAATGTGAACTTAACTTCAAACAAAACATAATGTAAGTAAAAGATCCTTACAAATGAGAATCTTTACATCTACATTAGATCCAATGTTTGTCAAGAATCTTTATATTCTTAGTTACTATTATCAAAAAAAAAGAATCTTTATATTCTTGTTAGAGACTTGAGTGTCCGTGTAGGGATTAAGTGTGAGATTTAAAGAATCTCTAGCTTTAGAGAATCCCTAATTTTCCGTGATAGACAAATTATTTAGCATTTGAATGGATGTTGTAAGGTTATGTCAATGGAGTAATACTACAACTTGATCTTACAATTCTCTATTAACACTATTTATCTTGAACTCCAATAAACATGCTTGTTTCAAATGCTTAAGACACGATACTGGTATGAATCTTTCAAAGTAAAACATGCTTGTCATATACATATTAGCATAATTGAACCCGATGCCCATACCATTGTCCATGTGATATTTTCTTTAATTGGGATATACAAATATTTTTTATTCTGCTTTAATCCTAAAATTCTTAACTATGTGCCCTGATCAGCGGAAACGCTATTTACAGCCTCCTACAAACAATAATGGCCAGATCAGGTGATATTACTTTATAATAAACCTCTTAAATCAGGATGTTTCGTATATAAAGCTAAGTTTGTTGGTATATAGTTACATATTTTCTTCTTACTTCTGTTAGTGGATTTTAGTTTGTGATGAAACATTAGCTTTTAGAGCACCTTATATGTACAACAGGTTCCAAGTATGTTTCAATATTTTATAACTCTTTCTGGTTCATCATCCATGGTCAGATAACTAATAAACGCATGTTATGCAGATTCAAGCCATGCAAACTGACCAAAAGCCAGGTGTAATAATAAATTTAGGCTCTTCTTCAGGACTCTATCCGATGTATACAGGCCCTATCTATTCTGCCACCAAAGGTTAATAATTTATGCTAGTCCATATGAATATATTATTTACATTCAGCCCTCTTTTTTCCCCATTTTGGTCTTAAATTAGTTCTTGATTTCCTGTCTTCATCATCCATTTCTATTTTCTTCTCTTATTTTCTGATGGTCTAGTACACGAAACACAAATTTATTATTTCTCTTTCCAACCTTTGGTTATAATGAGAACAATTTTTGTTATAGGGGGTGTTGTCATGTTTACGAGATCACTTGCTCGTTTTAAGCACCAAGGAATCCGCATCAATGTGCTCTGCCCTGAGGTACTCTGATCTTTCAATTAAGGTTGCTGGAGAGAAAGTGACTCTCTTTTTCTCTCTCTCTCTCTTACACACACAACTACAGAGATTTTATTCAGTCTCAGATATGGCCCATATATGCTATCTGTTACCCCTATTTTATCACTTCCATTTGGAGGGGGCCTAAAAGCCTTAGTATCACCATCTCTCGAGCCTCTGGTTTGCTCCATGAAAACAAACAACTCATCTTTGAATATTGGAGAGAAAGAAAGGGCACAAAAGAGAGAGAAAGAAAATCACATGGATGAAAAAGACAATATACAGCCAATACAAAAATGAATTACCACCACGATTCTAAAATATGTGAAGTCCAAAGAAGCAACAGGGAATAGTAAGGTTGAGTGGTGTTCAAGAAATTAAATATTGGATTAGCGCAAGTAGGTCATAAGTTATACTCTTACAACATGGTTTGACCTGCTCAGTCATGCCCCAACCTGCCAATTGAACACTTAATTTTGTGAATTAGAATTTAATTAAAGAATTTATTTTTCTTGGGAAGTATTTAAGATGGTTAAATATTCAAGCCAAAACAAAAGAAAGTAAATATTGATTTGATATGGATGGAGTATTTGTCCGCAGAAGGCACTTTTAAAGCAGGATGGATCAGACACATTTTACTACCATAATAATAGCTGCAAAGTGATGGAAGTTCAGGTTTTCTTGCTAAGCTATTTACCAGCTTGGTCATGACATCCTTTTACTGGATGGAATTTTGAATAAACCGGGATGCTATATAAAGCTGAACACATCAGAAATGGCCTTTATCCATGTGTGCTGTATTTTTTCGAAAGGCATTTTGTCCTTGCAAAAGATGAGCATTTTGATTCAATAGAAGTTTAGTTTTTGTACAGAATTTCTAGTGGGACCATGACCTTGCTGGCACCCTCCTCAACCAGAGCATAGTTATAAATTAAACAAGAAGGATTCTGGGTGGTGGAAGCGGGAGCTAGGGTCTTATTGAAGCAGATTTCAGCTTCAATTTTTATTTTTTTTATAACCGAGAAATCCGTCTGTGACCCGCCCTTTGGACATTTCAACTTCAATTTTAATTTTGAGACTTCTTTCCTTTCTTAACACTTTGGCGTATGGGAGGTGATATGATTTTGAGAAGTTGAACTGCTTAACCAAAAAGAAAGGTGGGTTTGAGTAGAAGGTGTTGAATTGTGTTCACCTCATCTAGAAGTTTAAGTTGTGAGACAAGTTACACTTTTATATACCCAAAAAGAAAGAAGGTAAATGTATGTTCTTTTTTTTGGGGGTGGGTGGGTGTTGAATTGTGCACTCACTTTCGTCAAAAGGCTTAAACTCTTAGGGAGGATGCACTTCTAAATACTTAATTATATCTTCATTGCACCCCTTCATGTGTGGGAAGAATGTGGATTCTTCTTTTTTAATATGAAGGGTAGTGTTGATACTTGAATCAAGACCTTTGTAGGCTCTGATACCAATTGTATGATCACCTCATATGAAAACTTAATTTGTTAGAGATGATCCACTTAACAATAATCACTATGCCTTAGTCACAAATTAGTTGGGTTGGCCGTATGAATCCTTACTGTCCATATTTCTCCATTTAAATTCATACCAGTCCAACATTGTACAAAATAAAATATAAATTACTAGAAGTTGTCTATATTCTCTATTGGCATAAAAATCTCTAATAGGGCTAAAGGACTCCTTGAATCACTGAAGTTGCTCTTTCTGACCAAAAGTGTTAAGAAATGGCTTTCAGAATTAAAGCATCATATTTATGGGGCACTAGAAAGCTGCCTTATATTCCAAACATGATATGTTGATATGGATAAAGAGCACATAACATGATTGATGCATGTTAACCTCAGACAGGAATTTACTGTTTACTTGTTGTACACAGTATGTCCAAACTGATTTGGCAGAAAAGGCTGTCGGTTCATATGTTGATCGATTTGGAGGGTATGTTCCTATGGAACTTGTGGTGGAAGGTATGTTTTACTCCATTTTTGTTGCCTTAGAATTATGTTTTTACTGTCAATACGAACCACTATGTTTATTTGGGCATACACATGATATGGATTTCTAAGCTGCGTGATTGATACTTTTCTTATTCCACTGGTGGTCCACTTATTTCTGCGTTTGAAGGACCAAAACAAGTAAACTCAGTGTCTTTCTTTGGGGGTGGGGGTAGGGGTTGGTGAAATCCTTTGCACCATTAAATTATTTCAAATTGTTTTGTTTAGCTTGGAGAATATGGAAAAAGTATGCCTTTCAAGACAGAATTAAATCAATGAGGGGAAGATTTTCTTTCAAAAACATAGAACATGAAATATGGCTTTCTAGTTTAAAGTCTGTAATACCTGCTTTTTACAGGTGCTTTTGAACTAATCAGAGATGAGAGTAAAGCAGGGTCATGTCTTTGGATTACTAACAGAAGGGGTCTGGAGTATTGGCCAACTCCTGCTGAAGAAGCAAAATACCTCCTCCGCTCTTCGAAAACACGCAAAAAATCATTGGTCACAGTTCCAATGGATCTTCAGATTCCTCACAGTTTTGAAAAAGTGTAAGTAATTGAATGATTTCTTCTTCTACTCTTGGAAAGATCATGTGTATGATTGATTATTTTCTCTTGTTGAGGACGTGTGAAATTTTAACTGCACGTGTTATCACAGTGCCGATCTACAAATGTCTCCTCCTACAGAGGAAAGTGAGAGCAAAAAACAAAAGAGAAAAATAGAGAGAAGGAAGAAAGGAAAAGAAAAGAAATCACATTACTATTGTTCCACCTAGGGGTGGAAATTGGGCGGGTTAGGTCAAATTTGGGTGGGTCAAGACCCAACCCAACCCAAATTTGCTTGGGTCAAAATGGGTTAGGTAAATGGGTCATAAAACGGGTCAAGACCCAACCAATCCAATTTCTACTAAGTTTTAATTGTTTTATTTGTTCTTTTAAAATATTTTAGTACCTAACAAATTTATTTTTTTCTTTATTATGGCTATATTTAACATATCAATTTTTTTTTTAAATGTTTTTTAAGAATATTTTTATAAGATTTCTCAGGAGTTAATTTGGGTTACATAATAACCCAATTTTTAATGGGTTCAGTTAATCGACCCGCCCAAACTTAAACAGGTTAGGCGGGTTGGGTTTGATTTTGCCACCCCTAGTTCCACCTCAACCTCTCTTTGGCATATGCAGTTGGTGACTGCCAATGCTGCTAGTATTGCTGTTGCAAGATTTTCCCCTTCTTTATTTGCTTTTGTTACTTTATTAATTCTGCGGAGGTTCTCCCTTGTTATTTCTGATGATTTTGACACTTTCTGCTTCTGATTCTTGTTCCCCAGAGTCGTTCACACGTTGAGTCACAATTTCCGTAGTGCTACCAGAATTGTGCGCACTGAATTGAGGTTGCCTCTCAAGGCAGATCATGTTCTATTAAAAGTCATCTATGCTGGTGTTAATGCTAGTGATGTGAGTTTTTTTTTTGAATTTCTGCAATAAACAATTTCAGTTTTGTTGACATCAGAACAAATAATTGAGTAGACTTTGTGGTTCCCTGTCCTCATGCAGTCTGTGCAAGCGTATTTGTATGTTCTGTAGCTGGAAAATACAAATGCATCTCTATAAATCAAGAAAGAATTTGTATCCTTTTTATTTGTTTGTTGTTCGGGCTAATTACAAAACTTTTCTTTTCAGTTTCAAAAATAATAATTTGTAATTAACTGGTTTTATTAAGATCCTTTTGGGGAAATGCATATGATGGACATGTTCCCCCC